CTAGGTCCTAGTTTCGAAATCTGTTCATTTGAGGAATGATTTCAAGTCTCATCGGGCTTAATTCCTCTTAGCCACTTGTAAGATTACTACCCCTCAAAAAATATTGTGATTCAAACTTCCTTACGTCTGTTAGCATAGGCCACTCACCAACATTCTCCATCCAACTGTGTTCTGGAAAATTATTTTCCTGTGCTTTTGATTCACGATGCAGTGCGTTATTTAGTCTTTCTCTTCTCTGTTCTCCTTCAGAATTTCCCTCGGGATACAATTTAATGATTCAGTGCTAAGTACATAAAATTCTACTGTGTAAATGAGATGAAGGATTAGTAATAGAAATGATAACTTGGTTTTCCAACACCCATTTAATTAAGATTTGATAACTGATCCTTCCTGATTCTATAATCATTTCGATTATCCCATTGTTTGTTTGTTTGTTTTTCATTGAATATTGATGGCGTCTGCTGGGATCACCGGGTAAGTAATAGTGAGGTTAGACTCAGGGTATTAGGAAATGATGGTAAGTCAGTTGATGAGGTTGTGAATCTCCATCGACTGAGATGGTTGGGCCGCGTGTTACGTACGCCCGAACACCGATTACCACGACGTGCAATGCGAACCGGTGTTGGAGATGGTTGGAAGAAGGTTAGGGGTGGCCAATACAAAACGTGGCATCAGTGCTTGAAGTCACTAACTTATAGTCTGAGCCATGTTGGTAGATGCAGACTACTTGGTTGGGGTCCGCGTGACTATCGTAACCAATGATTGGAGACTGTTGGTGACATGGCTCAGAATCGATCACAATGGCGTAGGTGTATACACTCCTTGTCTTCCCTTAAACTAAGAGATTAAAATTGCTTCATATCTTTTTTTCTAGCAACTAATTCTTTCTTCCTTATACACAATCTTTTATATATTACCACAACTGAATTAACTACTTTTGTGAATCCGGTGTCCATCTTGTTGTGTTAATGAGGTATGGCAACTTGAACCGATGCATATGCGTGCCTGGTCCTACGTTGTAGCTGACTGACTGACATTCAATTTGATGTAGTTTATATATATATATATATATATATATATATAACAGTTTCTGTTTTTCTAATTGTTTTATCGTAAACATGTTTGTTTGTTTGTTTTTTTCTTCTTTTTTTTTTCTAAAAAAAAACAACATTCATTTTACAGACTTGTTTAAAATCTTCTATTAAAGAGATCATACAAAATATTTTAATTAGTTCCGGTGAATCATTTCATACATCTGATCTTGTATTAGAATTAATTTATGATTATATACGTATAAATGCTAATCAAATGTTATTCTATTTATCCACAACTAAATTACCAGAATTATATGATTTATTAAATTTATGCAAAAATCAACCTATTCGTTTAATTAGAATTGTAAAATATTTTCGTACAATATGTACTAGTTTATTTATTAAAACAAATGGATTAAGTATAATGAATGAAAAACAATTATCATCATTTATCAATAATCATGATGATGATGACCGTCGTGACGACGACGATGATGATGATGATGATGATGACGGTCGTGACGATGACGACGACGACGATGATGATGATGATGATGATAATATAAGAAAACCAAATCATATATTACCTAATTCTAAATGTTTCAATTCTTTTCTCCCTCATAACAATTCAAATTGGATACGTTTAAATAAATTATTTCATCAATTATCTATCCCTTTACCAACTATTCATCATCATCATCATAAGGATAATTCATTTTGGCAATTGTATCCATTGAAATTCAAACAAATTTATTATCAATTATATAAAGGTAAATTATTACGTTTAACAAGAATTGATTTAATGACATGTAATGAATCTATTGAGAAATTTTTATCATTTCATCGTTTAAGACAATCAGCTAGTTTATTAAATTTAACTAAATCATGTAATTTAAAAAAATTTCTTTATTGGTTTTACTATTGTACATTGAATAATAATCATAATCATGATGAAAATAAAATTACATTGAAAACTATCAATGAACAATATTTGAAAATGTTACATAATAGTATGACATGTTCTACTACTACTACTACTACGACGACGACGACCTCCTCCTTCTCCTCTTCGTTGTCATCATCTTCTTTGACCATCGATTCGTCAGTATCATCTGGGTCATCATCCTCATCATCATCACCTCATGAAGGTTTACATATACTTGCTTATTTATTAAATGGTGATATCTTAGATATAATTGATATGATTTTATTTAATCGACAAAAATTAAATATTAATTTAACATCACCTATCACACCAATTGAAATTAAACAAGTTTTACATCTATTTACTAATATATTGTATCCAAGACAATGATCATCATCATCATCATGAATAGATTGATTGTAGATAGTTCTCTTACATGAAATTCTGTTTTCCATCTAGATCTATTCAAATGAGATATATGTGATAGATGATTTAGATCAAGTTTTGTTCTTTGAAATTGAATGGTTTACTACTATAGATAAGAATATTCATCATATTTCCTGAACACAATATCATCAATATAAATGTCCCCCCCTATCATCTCACTGATAGGTTAGATATATCATATGCATTTCATACTTTCGTGCATTTTTATATTAGTTCTTGTTCCTGTCCTTGTATCTAAGTTACTATTATTATTATTGGAAAATTATTCACTGTTGATTATTCATAATAATGAATAATTACTTTGAACATATAGTTGGCTTTGATTTAGTCCGATTTCAATGTGATCTGTTGTTGTGTTGTTCTTTTTTACTGAGATTATCCATTAAGGAACATTGTAGTGAATTTACGACTGCTATGTAACATCTCATAGTCTATGGTTTGACAGTATTACATCTGGTGTTCGAATAAGTTAAATTAACTTTATAAAATATAAATTGTAAATTAGATACTTGGCTTATCAGTAACCAGGTTATGCATTCAAATAGTGGTGGTTGAAGGATTAAAGCATTCTACTTGCAATCGTTCAATTGTAGGTTCAAACAATGATTCGTGTAGCCCCCAAATGCCCTGGTAAGGCCGGAAGTGGGACGAGTTAGCTCTCCCTCTCGAAATGCTCTCACATGGCCACACGTATACAACCACTGCCAAGGAAGTCCTACTCACTGCCTTCTCGCGGCATTACTGTTTATGAAATTGAGAGGACGAGAAACGAACGCCTGACTCTTTAATCGGGTTGGTGGATAGAGAGAATCCACCTAGAGGAGTTGGAAAACCCTTACTCAACACCAATGGTGCACATGGTCTCCAGAATCTTGAGTGAACAAATGGCGTACAGACTTACTGTTGATCATCGGCTACCATGGGACTGCATCTCCTGATGTTTCTCCACTGCGTTGTGGATCAGACATTTAGGTCGAAGGCTCTGGGTGTGGCCTAAGAAAACCACCTGCTTCGGTTTGGGTATCCAGGCCGTAACACAGTCCACACACAAATCGAGAGACTTGTATGGCGCATATGTACTCGATGCCCCTTTGTACCAATACTTATGTGTTCAAATAAATAAATAAAAATCGTGTACTTCACTTTGAGTGGCTGTCATGTAAAATAATATGGCTTAAACTTCAATAACTAAGTTGCATTAACTGTACTACGGATGGATACGACAGTTAGTTTAAGATGGCATGTGGAGAATGGTTATTCTTTTTACGGCTGGTACTGTATGTCTCAAATGACCGTACAATCACTTCAAAATACATCGTATTATTCTCTATTTCAGCCATTAATACTTGATAGGTCAACCAGAAATTTATTTGCTACTTTTACAAGCAAGATGACATAATTAGAAATCCATTTGTATTTATAGATTAGCCTTGTGCATTAGACACTAAAAGTCTGGGTTTTAATGGACCATGCTTGAGCTTAGCTAGTATCAGTAAAGTCTTGGAACCCAAGATCGATAGGAAGATAGAGTGAATGTATTGATACTAAAATGAACAATTCTGAACCGTTTTACCCGATGTGTCCAAATTCTGATCGTAATTATCTCCATCTCCCAACATGCCTGAAACCAACAGTCAGTGACTACACGGACTGACGACACGTTTTGATTTAGCTTCGCCTAGCTTTCTTACAACTTATCTTTACAGTAGGAAGCATCGTCCGTCGAGGTAGGCGATGATTAGGCATACGTGACACATATTCTAATCACCTCAGGCAATGAAGTCTCAATACCTCATCAGCCGACTTGTCACTTTTAAAAAATAGCCTTTACCTAACCTTAATATCGCTCACTCGTCCATTCCATAAAATGTGAGCAATACTTCGATAGTCTTCAACGTATGTACGCCTTCTACTTTCACAGATAATTTTTCATAGTTATAGAGTAGAACAGACAGGATTGCTGTAAATCATTTACACCCTTCGATTGAGAAATGGACAACTCACCTACGTCAAAAGTGACGCAAATTGACAAACGCTAACCGGGATCTAAAACTTTTAAAATGTAATTTATATTTACATCTGCATTACTCCATTGTTCAGAAATCTATCATTTCTATAACTTCATAATCACTGTTCTTTTTAACATAAAGAAATATGACATTGTTTACTACACACAAAAAATCTATCCAAGGTAATGAGGTTGGTGGTTAACTGAAAGTAATTGTATTACCGTAGTGTATACTCCTTATATGGACAGACATAAGTAGTATGTAGCGGGAACTGGAAGTACAACTTACTGGCAGAAGAGAAAACATGAAAACACAAATCAATTGGGGTGACAATAAAAATGGAAGAACCAGGGAGGCTGTAAGGTATAATTAATGCAAATGGTGCATTTAATATATTGTTTTCATACTTAACAAATGTAATGGGTAATTTCCATCAGCATGGATGATTATGATCCAATTAAGTCTTCGTTCGTTACACTACGATTTTCTTAACAGTTAGTGACTGTTATATCCCGATGAGAATAATGAATGGTAACTATTGGAATCTATTTCTGGACTAATACTGTACGCATATTTTTACTATATAATTGTTAAATAACTAAACTATACATATTCATGTCCCTTTTATTGTAAGCTTTATTTTGAGCCATAGACTTATTATACAATTTATCGTTCTTGAGTAACGCCCAGTCTTCCACATTCACAGCCGCTTTTGACTAAATATTGTACAAATGTTGTTTGCTACTTTATGGTATGATATGATCTGGTTTGCCTGTATATAAACACAATATGTTCGAAATAAATAATCCATATCGTAGAAGCTGATATTTGTGTTCTGGACTCAACAGGCAGGGCTAAGCGGGAAACAAAACCGATAAAAATTCTAGACTGCTCCTATATGTTTTATGCGTCATTAGCTCGGTCGATAAGCCACTATTCTCTAATTACGTTATTACATTGATAAGGGCACAAACCCACAAGTTATAACAGTGACCAGTATGGTGTACTTTACATCATACAGAATTGTTTATCTCATATTTTGTATAAACAAACATAAGTCGTTTCATTGAAAATAACTGATCTGAAAAATATTTACAGAAACGAATTACTCACTAGTTTGTTGCATGATTCAAAAAGAAACAATCATCTGACTAGTGATCATGAAATGGCGTGTTTTTACATTGGTATAATCAAGTAAATAATAATTTAATTGTTTGTTCATTAGTAATTGAATTCATGAGCCGATTACAGCTAGACAACCATAGAAAACCTGGAAGCACTGGACGGCCGTTTCGTCTGTCCTGCATGAGGGACTCGAACATACGACGTTCGACGTCTCATGCAAACTCTAACTAGAACTCCAGTAAGTACCTCTTAAAGCTCAGTGGTCTAGAGGTTAAGTGTTCGTGTGCGTGACTGAAGGTTCTGGGTTAGAATCCCACGAATAGGAACAGATGCGCACTGTTGAGGAGGAGTTCCATACTAAAACGAAACGGTCGTCCAATGCTTCCAGGTTTTCCATAGTGGTCTGACATTAATCTGCTCATGAATTTAACTATTAAATTATTACAATCTCTACAAACTCGCATTCTGAAACTAAACAGTATAACAAGTGTTTCATTTTAAAAAATCTCAGTCTATTTTAACAATAACTAAAAATATCAAGCAAATAGTGTCTTTCAAATAATCGATAACAGTATACTGTTCTAGTATTTGTGAACATTAGATCATAGAATGAATTAAGATTGAATTGATTAAATAATCACCAAGAATACACATTGTTTAAATGATAACCAAGATTTAATTGACTTCAATAATAAAGATGAATGTATGTTAGTTAAAGAGTTTGAAATTAAAACAAACCTATTTTCAAAGATCTTAACATAACACATAATGGTTAGTAATGAAGATGAATAATGGTTAAGCACTCGCTCTCGAGACTGATAGATCCTGGGTTCGAATCTCGCGGAGGGCGGGATCGTGGATGAGCACTGGTGAGGAGTCCCATACTAGAACGAAACAGCCGTCTAGTGCTTCCAGGTTTTCCATGATGGTCTAGCTTCAATTGACTCATGATTTCAACTAGTGAAATTTCTAAAACCTCCACAAAACCCCTTCAGAAAATAATTGTTTGACTAAGATTTTACGAATAATAATTTGTAGATTATATTTGTCATAAATCAATATTAGTTGAGATAGCATTGATAATCAAAGTGTAATTTAATAGTAATCTTGTCTTGGTATGTGAAAATTCACTTCAAAGTGCTTATCAGGATTTGAACGAATGTGATTTGTCATGAAGTGTAATTTTATGGCTAAACTATTCCATACTTTTAACTTGAATTAACTTTCTACGATTATCCAATAATGTTGGTAATAACTATCACAATCTTGACGCAGATGAATTCTTCTAGTTATGGCATATTATTAGACATGTAATTGCGGAGATCAGTTTAATTTGTATGTTTTTTGAATGATAAACTGATTGACATTAATTTAGGTAATATTGCTGAATACCGTCTACAACTAGTCGAACAATTATTTGTTATGTAGGTTATATTCGTCATAGATTAATCTGATTTAGCGTATTATTGAAAGCCAAGGAGCATAGTATTGCACTCACTTGGTATTGTTTACTTGAATCTTCCTGTTGATATTTACGACGGCAATTGATCAGTCTCTTATTGGCATATATATGCATACTGTGTGTATTGCCTCAATATTGTCTTAATTCACAAGCATTATAAGCAAAGATGCATAGTGGTTAGCAATGGAATCAAGGATGCATGTTCCATTTTATTTGGAACTCGTCACTACTGAGTCCGAAGTGGATAACGCGTTGGCATTGGAATCGAATAGTACTGAGTTCAAGTCGTGGAGTGAACATCAACTCGGAGATGCAGGTACATCCGTCTGAAGAGTCCCAAGTAGGAT